TAAAGTTAAACCGTTAACCGTTTACGTTGTAGTATAGTTAGTTAAATTAAACTTAAGTTTTTTACCGTTTTTACTTAGTAGTATTAGTAGTAGTGTCAGTACCGTAGGAAAAGTAACTCTCTCTCTCTCTCTCCTCCTCTCTCTCTCTCTCTCTCTCTCTCTCTCATGCTGTTTGAATAGTGGCCTCCAACTCTCTCATGCTGTTTGAATAGTGGCCTCCAAAAGAATTTAAACAAAATCTTACCACAAGTATACTAAGGAGAGAGCCAATCAATGCCATCACAAGACCTGTCACGCAGAACGAATAACCAAAGCTTAGGCAGACAGTTTGATGTTGGTAATCAAGAGAATCTTAAAGTTTTCAAAGGCTTTTCTAAAAAAATAAATCAGTTCACCTTACAATGGGTCTATGATGTCCTTAACATCCACAGAATTTCTGCCAGAAATGATCAGATTTAATTGTTCTGATTACGTGTAAGGTATTCTGAGACTTCCATGCTAATATGAAAACATTTGCCTATCATAATGATCAAGTCCGAGTACATCTAAACATATAAGTTGATCCAAATGAATTGGAACACTTTAATCCGTTACAACACTCTGAAGAAAAACTAAAGGCAGCAAAATTACAAAACTTCCCCCAGTATCACTCACATGTGCCCCGTCAGGGTATGCACATACACATGCATGCACGTGCGCACACCGATTAATATTCTATAGCACCTATTTATATCTTTGGTTGGATATAATGCTCCCAGGAGTCAAATATTAACAGCGGATGGTTGAGGAAGCTGTTCACATCAAACCAAGATATCAAACAGTGCTATAGTACAGAAATGCATCTCACTGGCACCCAAATAGGGAGGGGCAGGTGAGAGATAGAGAGAGAGAGACACGGAGGGAGGGAGAGAGAGCATCCAAACTCCAGAACAAGGTTCTCCTTGCACTTTCCCTAAGCCCATTTCCATTTTTTAGCAAATTTCCATCAGTAATGCAATGTTTGAATTTTGGAAGATGTGGTTTTGTAAATATCATCTTCCAAGCACAGCAGCACTTCCCTGTTTGAACGGGAAGTGCTGTGCCAAAAGTAAATACCACAATATCCACTTATGGTATTCTTAATATTGAAAAGTGAATACCGCAGGTTCCATGGTGGATAATAGAACCTACGGTATCCACTTTCCTGGAAGATGCAGTTTCCAACAACCACATCTTCCAAAATTCAAACACGCCCTAACAAACTTGCATACCTTTCCCTTGGAACAGAAACAAAATGCCAACAGTCCCAGATTAATGATCTCCTGGGCCAATAGACAACTCCAAATGACCCATCATGACTGACATCAACCAAACAAGCCCAATGGGCCAAACTACTCAAGAATAAGTGCCCATTCCCACAACTCGGGGAACTCTTTTCAAACCCATCTAATGATTTTCAGAGGATACTCCTTCCCACCATTTGCATTGTCCGAGCATAAGTTCCTCTCAGATACCATCAGGTTTCTTATTAGTTAAATCCTTTTATCATGCTCTACAGGTTCTAAGGAGAGGTTTCAGTTGCTCAGACATTAAAAGACATTGTAGTGAATCCTTAATTCGCTGAGAAAGGATTTCTTGAACGCAGAAAAGTGGGTTAGTAAGGTTTTCAACATACCCCATGGAAACAACATACATGAGATAGGGAAGTGTCAACGAGTATGCATGGTAAGTTTCATCATGCATATATACTTAAGTCATATATAAGTACTAATATCAAAGGCCTCTTCCCTAGAAAGAGGTAAAGCTTGTAGTAAGCCATATTGCTTCTCAAGTCGAGATTCGATGCTCCAAATCGGAGCAGCTAACGCTAGAAGTTTTTAATAATAAAAAAGCCTTCTTATTCAAGTACATATGCAAGGAGGAAACCTCTAAATACTCAATTCAAAAAATACCCCATTTATTTTTATAATTTCAAAAACACTCCATTTTCGACAGTTTTTTCATAAGGTTTTCTTAAAGTGAGGTATTTTATAACACCTCTTATATCTCTCTTCTATCTCCTGCACCAACTCGTTCCTCAGACATGTTGGAAGCCATCAAGATGAGCTACCAATAGATCACAAAGATCAGTGGTTCCATTTTTCATAGAGATACTACAATCATTAGAGAACCAGCACAAATTTTAAAATAGTGGTCATACTTGCTCCAGGAAAATCTGTAAATGCAAGGGAGTTAGAGTTTCAAAATCATAAACAGAGTACGATGAACTAACTTGTATAGATGCAGCAGAAGGAAGCTATAATTTGCACTTTCATCATCAAATTTTGAGAAAAAGACGTACAAAATCAGGCCAAGAAATTAAATGCAACATGCCCAAAACAAAACACAAACAAGAAAGTAATAATAATAAAGAAACACTATGGTAAAATCAACAAAGTATAAGAAGCATAATTTCTGGGCTTCCCATGATTAATTATCAAAAGCAAAAAGATCCATTTCCAAACCGTGTGCAGCTTACTTACTATAAAAGGGTAGAAGAAAAGCGACGCATACAGTCGAAACAACAAGTCCTGTCCGTATAAGAATGGAGTACAAGAACTCATTGGAAGTCCCTACTGGCAACAACTCCTCCAAACCTCTTGCTAAGGGATTGATTAGCAGCGCATATTTGTTTAATGTCAAGGAAACATAACACTTTGATAAAACTAAACTGGGCACAATGAAGTAATTTTGTTGTCAATCAAAACAATAGTATTAACTTGATAGAGCTGAATTAGTCTCCAAACATCATCATAGAAATGGTTAGTTGTTCAATATTCAGAAAAGACCAAAATGCTAAAATGCTTCGAGGATATTTGGTGAGAGGATTGATCACCTGAAAGACAATAACATAAGAAAGTCAAGCAATGGAACATATTCATAAACTAATCCAAGAGATAGTAACCATTTCAGGAAGCTAGATCAAAATAAGTAATATCAAACAATGAGAGGACAAAACAAGAGAAAAGATGCAAAAGAGAAGAAACCTACAGTTGTCCATAATGCTACTTGTGAAGCAATGTCATTCTTCGGTAAGTTCAGGGTTATTTGAGATTCTGTACCCTGACCATACATAAGGAACCCCATGGTCGCAACTCCCCCATATATTGCAGTACACAAAGCAAAGCTACAAAGCAGTAGACATTGCAAAGTTTTAGAAAAAAGAAAAGCAACATAACTTGCCATCATGATCATCCACATAATCCTAGTGCCGAATTCCCTAAAGTAACAGTGTCAAACATACCAAACAAGTAATGCTTTCTTGAATTTGGTTTTATCAGCCATTGACTGGTATATGTTTGGAAAGACTGCATGACCCGAATAGCAAAATCCATAAACCCCAATTGCTAATGGGAGTTTAGTCCAGTTTAGAAGAGGACCAGAATGATGGAACCCTACCCCGCCCACAGTACCCTCAACAAGCACTGAGATAAAAATCATGAATGTTGCAAGAACGCCACCAGCTGTGTATAAGTTCAACAAAACACATGTTTTTATAATCAGTCACAACACAATGCAATATGTAAGAAACTAAAGCAACAGAAACAAATAGAAAATGATTGTTTCCCTCACCAGAAAGATAGGATATAAGTCGGAGATCTCTTAGCCAAACAGTAGGTAGAACTATTAGGCCAGTTAAAATTCCAAAGAAGTGCATGGTGTCAATATGAAATCCAAGACAGTCGATAGAAGCTCCAGGGAATATCCTAGACAGATTATCACCTTCCAATATAATAAATTCCACACTATATGACTGCATGAATGGATTAGGAATTAATGACATGATATTATACTCCACATATCAATGGCACATTTACAACAAATAACCAAAGTCCACTAAATGGTAAATTTCGACTCCGAAGTGTTTGCACCACTTACATATAGCTCCAAGTACAAAATAATCTGCAAAATAAACCAACGAACATCAAACATTAGAAACCACAGGAGATTTAGCTGATTCACTTGCATACATAGGTATTAGCTGCTAAATCCATTGAAAAGGGAAGTTCAATTAACAATAAAGCCTCAAAATGTAGACAGCTACAAATGAAACCAGAATTTAAAAAAAAAAAACCCAAAAAACAAAGAGAGCAATGTATCCTATTTGTGTACGATTTTTAATTGAAGATATAGTTTACAATGAAATCAGAACAAAGAACTTTTCAGGCATTAAGCAGAAACATGGAAGCTTCAATGGGGGAGGATGTCATGCTTTACTTATGAAGCCAAAAAGTGATACCACAGGCAAATCAAATGAAGAGAAGTTCATAAAACATCATTGACAACCAGACCCATAAACAGCAATCCTTTTTTATTGAACTGGACACAGATCCAACATATGCAGAAAAGTAAAGCGATCTTAATGCCAAGGAAAATCTTACACACCGAGATAAACAAGCGCCCGTATCGCCCATATGCCGCTTCTCCAATGTCTGGGTAGCTCAAAATGCCATCTTTGCTTTCAAAACAGTATCGCATGAGAATGCCAGTATAACAGCAGATAGACGCAAAGAGAACCAGTAACCCCAAACTCACCCAACCTGCCTCCTTGATGGTATATGGAGTAGAAAGAAGGCCAACACCAGCTAATATATTTACTCCTGTGTGAACATATCTCAGTAGGTACAAGAAAAAGAAAAACTTGTACAGAGACTCTCGTCCTTATAAGAACAACAAAGACCAGAGACCATGTGGTTAATGTGAGAAAACTGACAAAGACAGCCACAAAACTACCAGAGACATGCATCTATCCAGATCCAAAAGCAATGCATATCAGAAAAAATAAAAAATAAAGCAGAGATTATGGGATACGAGATAACTATGAATATCATAATTAAATCTCATTTATATACTAGTTACCATTGAAAACTGTTTGAGTGAAGCTGCATCCATGACTTATATATACTTCTCCAGTGTGATGTCTCGATAGAGGAGTCACCCCTTCATGCTGATATTCTGATGTAATCAACAAATTTTTATCTGATTCTTGCTTCTCACCAAGTTTTCCAGAGAGAAATGGCACATTTGAGTCCCAGCCCGGAATGCTCAAACCGCTCTTATAGGAACTTGAATATCTTCCACTAGGTATTCGCTGGAGAGACCCAAAAATTGGGGACGCAGCGATAGTATAAGAATCAGTAGCTACCCTGTGAGCGACAAAGAACACTAATGAGAATAGAGACTTATATCAAGACAAAAGAATCGACTGTAATAAAAAGGGAGAGAGTTATGTATAGCAAAGAAAAACTATAATAAATGGGGGGGAAGACAGTTCTTCAGAACAAAAAAAAAGAATGTGACATGACTTCAACCAGATTACACAAGACTAAATTATATTCATTTATTGCCAATTTTCTTCTCAGATACCAACAATAAGGAAAAAGTGCATGATGAACAATGAATTCTACGATTAAACCAAATCCCTACACTTAATCAATATTGTGATTTGACAATAAACACCAAGCTCTATAAATCTAATCCACTACTCAAACCTCGATATTTGACATGGTTCTCTTCACTCTGTTATCTTAACCAATTATGTAACCATTAAACTCTTCATCTCTCAAAAATTAGTCATCTGAACTCCTAAAATTGAAAAAAAAAAAGAAGAAGATAATCTATGGAAAAGCCCACGCTAAAAAGAATTCAATTTCCAAGTCCTATACTTATGTGTTTCCTTCTTAACTTCATAAAAGAAGACAAAATAGTAAACTGGAGCAATAAATCGATTTCCTTTGCCATAGAGGCCAATCCAAAACCCTGGAAATCAAACCAAACAAAAATTCAAAACTAGACCTGTAACTCTGAGGCCACTGAGTCGACAAGAACTTAGACGAATGCCGCTCATCATTCCACTCATTCTCCTCATCATCACTCTCTCTCCTCTCTTCTGCAACTCCATCGCAGCTCCTATCTTCATCCCCATTTTCCAGAAAATACTCATGATCCTTCTCCTCCATCTTCTCTCTGATCACAAAACAAACCCAAGAAAACCCCAACACAGTAACCCTGAACCACAAACACTAACCTCAGAATACTTCCAAACGAGATTTTCAGATATGGGTCTCGGAACCCTAATCCTATAATGAATCAAGCCACAAAGTTTGGGGTTTTGCAGACAAAGAGACAGTTGAGAGATCACTATTAGGGTTGATGACAATGAAGCCAACAATTTCAGGAAGAGGTTGCCCATTTTTATTGATAGCAATTTCGTGTCTGAGAGATTTTCTTGGAAGCGAACATGCAACATTTAGACAACTGTGTCCCGAACCCTCAGGAAGAGGCCATAATCAGAGGACATAATCAGAGAGAGAAATAGAGAGAGTATATACGTACGCGTTAGAGAGAGAAAGAGAACCTGACAGAAACAGAGAGAATACGTACGTACTTTTCGAGCTTCGGAAAACAAGTTGTACACGTCACACAATAAATGTCTATACGCGTGACGTGTATCATATTCCATACACAAGCTCTCCATCAACCGTACGTCATCGTCAACTAACGGCGGATATGAGAAGATGCTCACCTTTTGAGTACAGTAATGTGGTTGTTACTGTTTTACACATGGGAGATAAAGTGGGCCCGGCAGATCCCAACACACCACGTGGAGTTCCCTCGACCCCAGTGGAGATTTCTAGCGCCGTAGACATTTTGGGACCATTAAACGTTTAAAAAACAGATCAGTGGTCCGGATCGGTTATCCCAAAACTGTGTCGAATTAGTGGATTGGCCGGTTTTGGTTTCAAAAAATTTTAAAAAAATTTAAAAATAACGTTTCTAAGTTTTTAAAAAAACATGATGGTTTATATGCTTTATTTTTATTATTTTTTTACAAAACTTTGGGGTGATGCATTTTGTGTTACGCAATAGTTTTATTTCCAACAAAAATGACAAACCCCATTCTCTTTCTCTCTCAAGTTTCACTTTCTTGACAAAGATGACATAATTTATTGGCAAGGAAAGCAATAATTTCCTTCTCGACTAAAATGACAAATACCTAATTTCACTTAACTAAACTGGCAAAAATTGTATTTCTTTGTGCATGTGTGTGTGAGAATTTTAAGTGTCCATCTAACAGTTATTGCACAAGCATACTAATAGCTGAAACCAAAATATCACTCAAACAAACCGTTATACACACTAATATTGTGCTTTCCCAATTTAGTAGTCCTCCTGACCTAATTCTGATCCAATTTATCAAATATAATTATTATTTTTTTCTCACTCAAAATTATTACAATCTAACTAACTATAATATTATACTATGAAATTGGAATTATTAGTATATATTTTATAATTATTTTACTATACAAATATGAATAACTTCAAACTTTGTCTTATAATATCATCTAATTTAAACAAGAGAAATGACCTTGTGAGACCCTCTCACACCTATGTGTGTAAGACCCTAAAGGATCACCATTAAATTTGGTACATATTTAGAAAAGTTAAGTGTCTCACCCATGTGACAGCTTTTCTACAGATCTGTGCCAAATTTAATAGTGATCATTTGAAGTCCTACATACATGGGTGTGGGAGGGTCTCATAGGATCATTATTCTTTAAACAAATCTTAGTTACAATTATAAAAAAAAATAAACCATAATGAAATTTACAATATAAAATAAAAAGAAATGATCTTATAGAACCCTCCCCCTACCCTTGTGTGTAAGACCCCAAAGGATCACTGTTAAATTTGACACGAATCTATTGAAAAGTCAAGTCCTACACACATATGATAATTTTTCTAAAGATCTGTACCACCTTTAATAGTGATCTTTTAGAATCCTACACACATAGGTGAGAGAGGGTCCTATAGGATCATTACCCATAAATAAATTAATAAATAAAATACAAATTTTGATTATTAATGTGTAATATAATATAATATTATAATACTACATCAACAAAAAGTCAAAAACTATTAAAAACATTATCAAAATATAAAATAAAACCCCTCATAAATTTCCGCTATGACATGTAAAAAAAATATCTTCAAAGCAAAGGTTTTTTTTCCTAAAAGATAAAAAATAATAACAGAAAGGTGGGAGGGGATTCACTATGTCTGGCGGTTTACTGTTCATATGGCTACAATGGAATCGGCGCTTCAGAGATGTGGGAGGCGGGGAGGTACGGCCGGAGCTCGATATGTGAGGGGATTCGGAACAGCTAGTGTGAAATCCGATTCGGATCACATTTTTAAAAAAACGTCATAGACTAACTTTTCCATTGTGAGAATTAGAGCAAATATCTTTTTCGAAAAATTTAAAAAATAAATTCATAACTAATAATAATAGATGGAACCAGGCGAACCGTCAAGAATCAGACAAATCTGGATTGCCAGTTTTTTTAAACACTGGCAAGAAGCATAAATATACAGAGAAAAAGATTTTACTTGAAATACTTAACGCACTCTTAAAAAGTGGGGATATGAACAAAATATATTAAATATCAGGCATATTTATAAATTTTGGAAAAATATAGTAAGTATTTATGAAAGGGAAAAGTTTATATAGAGCCGAGGCTCTAAATAATCAAATTTGAGCTTAACTCAAAACTTTCACTAGAAGAGATTGTTTTGATGCTCAAATATTTTCAAATTGATCATCTTGACATCAAGATGCATGACTATGAGAAAAAAATGGTTTGCAAAGTTTTGGAAATAATGTATTTTGTAATGCATTTTTAGACCGTTAATTTTCAAGACTTTCAAGTTCTCATAGATATATCGATCTCTACTATTTTTTAAGCTTTAAAATTTATAAATAAAGATAAAAATATATTTTAAGGCTATCACAAAAATTTCCAATATTGAAACCACATTTCTCGATACTATTTGAAAGTAGGCTCTAATTTGATTGTTTAGAGCCTTGGCTCTATACAAACCGCACCCTTTATGAAAAGGGTTGGGGTTTGTGCGGGTATTAATATTTCCAACGGTGTTTACATCATGCTAAATCTAGTTAGGAAATTTACCAAAATGTTTTTAAAATTGAACTATTTAATATTTTACCTTGGGTGTTATTTGATAAATTCCAAAATCTACATTGATGTGTCAAGCTATTAAAATTTTGGTCATAAAAGTGATGAGCTATTTAAAATTAGATAAAAAATGCAACAAGATCTTACACAGTTCCAATCGTGTCATTTGATAAGTTTCCCAAACTAATTTATAGGTAAACTATGAGTATAAGAATAGTCATCATGATTCCTAATACTGTGTACCATCGTAATTACTGTTTTTAGTTAACGGATTTTTGCATATTGTTACTTAACAAATAAGTCAGATGTGGATCGCCTCTTTTATCATTGATGCTAAGTTCAGTGCAGATTTAATTTAAGGATTGTATATTATGGGACCATTTATTTTTGTTACAAGGAGGTCATAATTAATTATTAGATGTCAAATTAGATGACTTGAAATATTTCACAAAGTTTGATAGTTCTTTTTTTGAACTTCGAGTTTAGCCAACGACACTCTTACAACCATCCGATTTAAAATTTAATAGATAACAATAATTGTGACCTGGTTGTATGAGAAGTGAATGGTCTCTTTATATGTTTTTCTTTTAATTTGCCCAAATAATTTTATACAAGATAAACTCAGCCAGTGATTTAAAAAAACGCCAATTCAACTCAAAGAGAGCCCTTTCAATGCAAGAGTCATTTTCCAAGCTTTTATTTTTCTTTATTAGGCCGTTGAAAGCCCGATCCTAATATTTTTCTTCACCAAACCGAGTTTTTTTTGCGACAAGAACACAATTTTTTTAAATAAAATATAGATTACAATTCTAGTCCAAATTGCAACAAAAAGTCGAAGACAACCACATAATCCATCAAACCATCCTGATTAGCTAATCTGGCCTCTGTATACACGAATAAAAAGATACCAACCAATGAGATGCAAACACCAAAACTTGCATCCATAAAAATCTCAAATGCTATACTGGTGTAAGACTAATTAATCACATTAAACGAATCCCCTTCAAACACAAAATAACAACCAATTTGGTGTTTCCTTATCATTTTAACCCCTTGCAGTAAGGCAGCTAACTCTACATGATTTGCCGAAGAAATACCACAAGAACATGCAAATCAAGCTGAAAAGAAAAAGGACACAAGCTGCAAGAGCACGTGAAAAGTTTTGCGTACTATCCAAATATTTTTTGGTATTTTTTTTGTCTTAATAATCTTTATGCGAAATTTTTGTTATTAAATTATACAAAAAGTTTATGTAAGATGCAACTTCGGGATTATGATTTAAATAATGGGGGATTATGATTTAAATAATGGTGTGTTTTATGTAAGCCATCAATCATCGATAAACAAAGCAAGGCGCACATCAAAATCCAAGATGCATTTTTGGTGTTGGAAACTCCTATAGTTGTCTGAAAAATTAATTCTGACCTTAATTATGAAACTAAAAGCTTTTAAAATGGTGCACATCTATAAATACTTGAAAAATTCGGTAACTCAGTGGGGAGAGGGCCCCTACCTTTTAGTGAGAATGAAATTTATTTTTTTTTCTCATTTCATTACATCATAAGTTCAGGATGATCATTTGAAAAGTTTTCCAACATCAGAGCAACTTTTGATAGTGGATTTTTTTATTTGCGCCTTACTCATTTAACATAAGGTCCATTAAATATCATATTCTCAAATTTGCAGGTAAAATTGTAACACCTATCTTTCTTCTAGGGAAATTTATTGAAATATACTAAAAAGATCAACTACAAAATATTTTACCAATATCTTCTGACTTAATTTCATCAGGCCCATAAAAAACATGACTGTGTATTGGAATTGTTGACAGAGGCTACACTACTAAACTGTTAAATATTAGGTGTATTTTGATAAGGAAAAAGGTTGTATAGAGCTGAAGCTCTCTTCTTCTTTTTTTTTGACGAATATTAATAGCTCTTTATTAAAATAAAAAGATCTCCCCCGTACGGATTATTATTCGAAATAGAAAGAGAAGATAAGGATGCCCCCAATTTAGATATGCACAAAGGAAAACCATCCAGCACCTGAATCCAATTGGATCTAAGTTTCCAAGGAATTCTTTGTTCCCTTTTGCCATTTGTTTTGCACCATTTGATTCCATTCAATGAGTCTCCTTCAATTATACATACTGCCCCAAGTTTCCACTCTTGAATATTTTGAGACCCTCTAGAAGAGCACACATCTCTACTTGATTGGCAGTAGCTATCCCAATCAGACCTGCATAATTAAAAACAATAGTACCACCACAATTACGGACCACGCCCTTAATACTTGCCAAACCAGGATTCCCGAGTGAACTCCCATCGAAATTCAGCTTGAGA